AGCACATTCTAGAAACTACAAAGTTTTTATCTAATAAAATGTCGGATAGACTCAGGATGAACATAAAAAGAAGATGTACAACCGATTACAAACACTTATACTTCTATTTAAGCTGTGGCGGATGTGGTGTTTGAACTAACTAATTATTCTATTGTACTTGTTGAATGCTCGATTTCGAATTCTAAATACAATACATTCGTTTGTGCTTGTATCGTAGTTCTTGATTCAGTTGCGTTAATTCTGGGATTCCTAGTTAATAACACAATTCAAATAATTCAATACATCATAGTATTCGATAATTTTCTAAGCTTTTAATAATCAATACATATAACACAGACTCGTAGATCACCAACATGGATGACCGGTCTCTGATGATCCGGTGTCATCTCTATCTAGGTTTGAAAGGCGTCGAAGTCACACTTCACGGTTAGTACTTAACGTCGATCACCCTTTCTTCGTATCCTAGTACTATGACTCCTTTGGAGACGTACAACACAAACGGCGTTAGTACAGAAATATGGTGGTAATTGTAGGTGTAAGAGACAGAGAAAGACCACTCCCTCAATGGCCATTTCATAGCGTGTAATCAGATGATGCACTTTGGTTGTCCTTCACCTTGACTAGGATCGGTAGACTGTTCGATATTTGGTGACCGGACTATCAGGTGATTTGGTTAAAGCCCAGTGTCATTTCACTGAACTTGGAGAATAATATATGAACAGTGAACACTATTAAGTAACTTTATATTTTTGATTGGTTTTAATATAAAACAACCAGTGGTGGTTGACATTCGATATAATTCTTAAATTTCGTATACTGCCCGTCCTGATAACCTTTACTTGACAACGCTCAACGGTATTAAAATCAGAAGACGAATATGAAGTGTTGATTATGTGTATTATTGCACCGCACATAGATCCGCACAATTGCAAGCACACAAAGCAAGAATGATATGCAAGTGTCAAAGAACAAGCAAGCGAGTAAGTCTATGAACATCATTAATACATATGTATATTTGGGACATTGAATGTGTTATCAAATCATTTTGGCGACTAACACCAAAGCTAGCAGAATGAATAGGTGCGTAGGCGGTAAGCAATGCTCAACCATCGACACAATCCAACAGCCATCAACAATCAATAATAACAATGATAGGAGAATATATCACTCATTAAACGTCTTTCGGACTGTCTACAAGCGTGACTAAGCAGACAACTGATAATTATCATTCTCGTCCACACTGGAGGATCCATTTCGAATGTTCTGTGTGTAAAAATCCCTACATGTAGGCACTTGCAGTCGATTCCTATTGATTCCCTTAGTTGTACATTTTGTTAGTCTATTTCACTGCATTTGAGTTGGCAACATTTGCATTTTATTATAGTTTTTATTTTTCTTACGCCTTCACTAAGTTTCGATGTTTCTTCCTGATCTGCATTTATGTTGTCTCGCTTGATGCTTAGTCTTGACGGCAGCCAATATTGGTTTATTCCTCCTTTTCATTGTGCTGTTTGGATTGACTGAAACTGGGCATTTTTGAATGTGAATTGAAGCACCCCTCCGGAATTGGAAGCACTCTGTGTTATAAAGCAATCAAATATTATCTTTTGAACGAATCGGTGCGTGCTTTATCCAGACAGGATAGGATAACACTTGTTCGTTGCGATTGGTAATTTTCTCACATCCTTTATCAACTTCCTCATTTATTGTAATTTAGATTTGATTGATTGAACAATTATTGGTTGAATAGCTGGGTTGTCATATTTGATTAGGTAACAGTGTACGTTAAAATTTATGATGAATTTTGGAACCGTCATTTTACCCAATTACTTTGTTTTAGTTTCAACTGGGTAAGGGTGCATATCCAACCCATCTGGACAGTTATTTTTCAGTCCAAACCTTAGTTCGAATCCTACACACACATCACCACCCCTGCGATGTTTGATCGTATGACTTCACATTTGGATCTATTTGAAAAAATCTCGTTCGATTCCGTTCTCTTGATAACCTACGGCTGGCTTCCGATTTCCGCTCATGTTTTCTCATTTCAACTTGTGGTATGGGTAGTAGGTAATTAAAGGTATCATATATTTCCATTAGCAAAGGTTTAGCTAGAGATGACTCACTTAAATTTTCTCTATCTCACAGTTAAGTTGTGTGTCTGATAATTAGTGTATTTTCAACCATGATTTCATACAATAACATCCCACATCTTTTTTATACACCAGAATATCCATGATGGCTTTCCTGGCCGGAAATTACATGCATTAACAAAGTTTCAAATCTTCGGGCAATTCTCTTTCTTATTTTTTGTAGTCCATTCTTTCTGTCTTTCGGGTTCAATACATCAAAAATGTCCTAAATGGTCGGCAAAACTTTGTTTCGACTAGTGGTTTCCGTTCTTGACAATTTGAAGTGAGTGTAATTCTGTAAGAGATTGGGAACTACTGCAGGGCCTCTTCTACTTTATTTTCACGTTCCGACTTGAAAAAAGCTTGCTTAAGAATATCAACAAATTTCGTAGCTTGCCCAGTTAACTGAGGGGGATACGGCGGAGTTCTAGTATGTTAGATCACATTTTCTTTGCAAAACTACTTAAACTCTGGCGACGTAAGTCGCGTTCCGTTATTTGAAACCAAAACATTAGGTGTTCCAGACCTACCAAATAGTAGTCTGAAGTGTCAAAGTGTTTCAGATGTAGACGGTCTTCGCATAACATAGATTTCAGGCCTTTTGGAGTATAAATTTACCACCACCAAAAAACATTGTCCGTGTATTGGTTCAGCATAATCGATGTGTACTCGAATCCAAGGCTTGTTCGTTTCTGTTCATGGCTGGGGCGTTTGCACCTTCAGCACATCAACAACATCTCAATACGTGTTCATTCACATCCTTATCCGTGAATGACCAGTAGACATAACTATGCATAATTGCCATCATTCTGTTCATTCCCGGATGACCAATACGAAACGTCTTAAGCACAAACAACTGCAGAGATTTAGGTGCGAAAACACGATTGCCATACATCAAACGATTATCATAAATCCATAAAGACTCACGACTCAGAAACAATTCGTGAAACTCCCAATCAACGTTATCCTGTTCCCGACCCTAATAATAACTCCTCGTATTCTATTGAGTAGAGAATCAAGAGCCGATTTTATGTACTTCGGTTCTTTTTTATGAACAGTAAAAAGTAATTCCTGATAAACTGGACTTATTCTTCGCTAGAGCTTGTGTCGACTCACATTTTTGAAGGGAACGTGATTGGTATGATTGAAACAATTATTATTGTAACCTACTGTACCAGTGATTGTTTCACTGTACCTGTTTGCTTAGGTGTAACAAAAAAACACCCTTGCGTTGTTTGGGACCTTGCAAGAATTCTCGTACGCTCATTAGTCTCGCTTGTAGATTTTGGAACGATATGGATATTATTTCGATACCATAAGATCGCCAACAAATAAATCTTAGCTTAAACTTTGAACTGCTTTCTGGTATTTGGTCTACGGAGGGGTCTAATCTGGTAACTGGCACGTAATCTATGTGAAGTGGTGATCATAGTCAACCGCAACTGGATTCCAACTACAAAGTATTCTCAAGATATGAATCTGTAAGCATATACTGCAATGGATCTCCCTCACAAACGTACACTTCAATACACACATAGAACACTATTCGACACCATGTAAGTTAATTATCCGTCTATTGTGCTGTGCTCATGGTTTTGGTTTTACATGTTGACACTTCATCGTTAGTGGATTGTCACAGCATGTTTAGGTCTGATAAACGACTCAATGGATTTCCCAAATCAGGGGAAGTGGTTTCTGGCATTGTTTGGCAGACAGAATTTCGGGTAAAGTTTGTGGTGGTCCAAGAACACTTGAGTGATGGGCGTGAACCTCTACAGAGGTCTAATTTGGGTTTCCAAATTTCTGAATTTCGAGTGTCCATTAATTTCCATTAGGTCTACGGCATGATAGAGCAGCTATTTCTTAAAAATTATTCTGTGAGTGTCCATTTCCAAATAAAATATTTGCTGATCTGACCTGGATTCAGTCAATCCTACTCGACGAGGACCAGCGGAATTTCTGAGAGTTTGAAACAGAAAAATCATTTAAGTGTCGTTTCAATAATGCCAGTATAGTATAGAGTCTAGTTTCTGAACGAAAAAGAACTCACCATACAGTGATCCTTTTTTCTATGGATACTCGGTCAACCTGAACATCATTATTTTGTCTTAAAGTCTTACGCTAACTGTGACAAAAATGCCTTCCGAGCAAACCTTGCACTGGTAACGTTGAGGCGCATTTTTGGCCAGTTTGACGGAAGAACTTTCCACACAATCTTCAATAGTTTCATCCGTCCCCATTTAGAGTACGGAAACATAGTACTACCCCCCTCACTCCAAAAGGACAAGGTCACTTTGGAGCGTATCCAACGGCGAGCCACGAAATCAGTTCGAGGACTCAAATCTAAGCCTTACGAAGAACGCCTCCGTTCACTAGACCTTTACCCACTAGAATATAGGCGTCTTAGAGGTGATTTATTAATGACTTATAGTATTCTTAACACTTCTGGACACCCTCTTAAACACCAACTTAAGCTTAGTTCGAATAATAACCTAAGGGGTAACACCCAGAAACTGGAAACACAACATAGCAAGACGGAATGTAGACACAACTTCTACTCCTTAAGAGTTGTCAAAAGCTGGAACTCGCTGCCGGCCGAGCTAGTCCAAGCGACTTCTCAGGAGTCCTTCAAGAGGCAACTTGACCTATTCTTAAGGACCAAGGACAGCATCACACTATGATTTACCAATTTCTTTTCCTCTTTTATTGTTAACATACCTAGGTTCCTGCCTGGAGGATTTCGTGATCCCCTGCTACTAGACACGGAAGCCTGTTAAGCGAAAGCTTCTTCTATTCCGTCCACAACCATTTGAACCATTTGAACCATTTGTCTTTGAATGTTCTCATCCTTCAACAGTTGCTGGGTTCGCTACATTAAGTGTACGCGGGAACTACGACGGAGTAGGATGAAGTGTCGTTTGACGTTCTTAAATTTACTTCACTTATGTAAGTAATGCAAATGACTTATAACACACAACTTTTGGCAGTAATATTCGTGCAATGTGAACTGTTTTGGAATTTCCCACGTAATTCAAGGGAAGTTTTTCATGTGTATGTGAATGAAAAAGCACATACTATACAAGTATTTCCGTCAATTCAAGTTAAACTAACTAATGGTACGTTTAAACACAAACTTTAAGCTTTTATATTTAATTCCGTATCGAGACTTTCAATCGAAGTTTCAGAAGCTAACCAAATTTTTATTTAAAGCTAGCATTTATTTATTTTCAAATAATGTAGTATTTAGTATTCGTTCGACTAATTTATTCGTAGTCATCGAATTCTAAATGTTATTCTGTGCGCGAATTTGAGCCACCAGAATGGAACATGATATGTTAAAATTAAATAAATAACTACAAGCTTGAATTAGAAAAAGATTTGTTTAGAAGTCATATGGAATATGGTGATGAGTAACTCATCCTTTACATCATATTATAAACTGTCCTCCAACTGTGAGACTGGATGTGTCAAAAGTCTAGAGGTTCGTTATTCATTTCAACAAAATAATAAAATATCCTCAGGTGATCATTGAAAAGCACTGTACAATGTGCACATCCATCAACGCTTAAATGAATGCGAAAAAGTAGAAAAGTAGAAAAAACCTATCAATAAATTCATCTTGCTGAATACCAACTTTCTATCAAATACAGATGTGCTCTTTTTGTTTATCCTATCGCCTTTTCGCCTTATAAATCTCACTCTTTGCACTGACGGAAAACTTAAAATTTTCAACTAATGTGTTTTTTCCTTGAATCTGCTTTCGATTTTCATTTATTTTTCGATAAGTAGCGCAAGTTGGTTGCTGAGAATATTTTCTGCAGTGTTATAAAAGCGACTAGTCAAGTAAAATGTATCAATTAAATTAGCTTATTTTACATCATGTCATGGCTGTAAAGTATTACCCCAAGTGTCTCATCGTATGTAATATTTAGAAATGATATCTCGCCTATTCACCAGAATCAACCATATAGTAAACTTTGTAATTTTGGCTCATGAAGATATTTAGGCTGCAAACAGTAAATATACCGCATTTCGTCTCAGTAGAGCGCAAACGTTAAAAAATCTTTGATTTGCGCAGAAATCTGACAGAAAAATGCAGTTCAACTTGTGGCGATTTTATTTATTCGTTTGGCATCAGCGCAAACTTACCGATGTTAAAATCCCTGAGTAATTTAGTGGTCACTTAATTAGCGATGGGGTTTTCATTACAGATTTGGTTATTTCTCAATCTGTTCTTCATAGACCTAGTCGATGCAAAAAGGATTTAAAATTTCTTTGTTCATATGTGGAAAGAAAAAGGCCTTATAGCTTGTAAAATATGAATGAAAGACTAATAACTTCAAATACGGAATATTAGAATTTAACATAACTACATACTTTTTGAACTCATCTTTTATCAATTAATCTTCTAAACTCACAGCAATGCATCTTCTTTGTGTAATTTCGGACTTATATCAGGAAGCATGACTTCATGGTGACAGGTTGTTACGTGCAAAGTAATGAGTAAAACCTGCTCAATTTTTATTTTGAGCCGCACATTAGATGACCGAACTGTGTTTGTTTTCTTACTTGCGCTTTTTTAAAATAAATCCATACGTGTCGCTAAATGTAAACGGTCTAAATCATTATGTTTTAGTTATTTATACTGCTTATTGACGTTAGCTTGTTAACTATTGAAAGTCAGTGGGCAGTGAACAACTGTTTTCTCCCACCTCATGGCTTCGGAAACATCCTGTCAGGACCCCTCCAAAATTGAACCTCTAGGTCTTTCAGTCACATGGCATTAATGAACATACGTATTTATTAATGGCCATTTTTGGGTTTTGAGTAACCTTTACAAACGACGCATCTAAAATATATTATTATATCTTAGTTAGTTGCACCTCATCTGTGGTTGGTTTAACTTGATAACCTCTGATATTTGACACTGAGAAATTTTTATTTTTCAACATAAGACTCAGTTCACTCATAAATAGTTCTATTACATCATCATCCTTTTATTTTAACCAAATGTGTATAGCTGTAAAACTAATCACTCATTTTGAAATAATGACTGAATCCATAACCTCATCACTGTTTGGATTATAACAATAACCTAGAACATGTTAAAACAGTTCAGGGTTTATGAGAACATATCGTTTTTGCAGTTTTATAAGGCATTTAAACTCGATTTCAAGCATTCAAATATGATATAATTTAAATTCTGATCCAAGATATTGAATACTTTTTTCATAAGATAGATAAATGCTATGAAACATGGTAGACTGAATAACTATCTCTTCCTACTTTGATAATTCTAGCCGTATTGAACGTAGATGCCAATATACGGATAGAAATTAGTTAAGAAATTGATGAAACAAATCGATAGCTGTTCTGTTCTGCAGTGAGATTTTCTATTAGCACATCCAGTGCCATCCTATCATGGGAAGTAGACGTAACCTCCAAACCTCTCACGGTACGTGTTACTTCTGGAATACTTAATCAGTATCTTATAATTCACATTTCCAACCTGATTTGGATCTACAGAATGATAATTATCCAACACTTCAATATTGGAAATTTCAAACCTTTTACTGCAAATCATCCTTCAGTCACATTATTTATCCTCAGTCTTTCTGATTATCTCTAATACTTCTGTTATTATGACTCGTTTTGTAATTTGATATCTCTGTGGCAACGGGTGTGACAACTTGAACTAGCTCACGTCATTTTCAAGTCCAACATCGGTTATGACTAACTTAGTTATTTAGCCACATGAATTATCATGGAAAATTCAACGTACAGGAAGTAAAGCCGAACAAAATACCACAAGTCAATTCACTACGCATATTTTCCTCTTAATTTTTGTCTTCTAATTTTTGTTCTTTCTCCCATTTTTTTAGCTACACAAGTACCTAAATATCCCGTAGATATCTTTGTTTTCCTTGATTATTGTAACAAGTAGTTAGTAACTTTGAAGCGATATAGCTAACAATCCATTTTTGCATTTGTTATCTGAATTTTCTCATTAATGTTTAGGACTGCAATTGAACAGTCTCTTATTGACATACGGGCATCTCACAGCTGATGTTAACTCAGGGACTCCACTACAGTATTGTTCACTTCAAACGCCATGACGTTATTCACTTAGCTACTGAGTCCAGACCCCGTTGCATAAGCTAGTGGCTATCTGGACTCAGTAACTAAGTGAATAACGTTATGACGTTTGAAGTGGACGGTACTGGGCTGGAGTTTCTGAGTGAACATCAACTGTGGGATATAGGTACACACAGGTGACCACTCCCAAACAGGAATAAACTTGCGTCCTCGATTCTACTGCTAGCCACCACCATCTTTGCTTATAATAGCCCACCGTTGTTCTCAATGGCATATGTGCATTCACCCTATGTCATTCTCTAAAACCTGAGTTCCAAAATCTCCTACCTTTCTTCCTATTTCTATACTTAGTCTTTTCTATGGCTACTGATATCGTTACTATTTCTACTATGTGATTTGTTTAGAAATAATTTTATCTCACTGTTGCAATGGGATGTAACAACTTGCAAATAAGTCAGGTTTTGCGATTCATATGACTGACTAGCCAATTTTCTTTATTTATTTTTCTACAAATAACAGAACGATGAAACTATACTCTTCTTTAAAGTATTTTAGATTTCTAAATGCAACCCTTTATTTAAAATTCCTCTTTACTAAAAATCGGAAGGCTATGCGCATCACAGTACAGGTTAATATTACTTCTTTAAAACTCTACACAAATGGTAAAAGCAATAAAATTTTTAACATATTAAAAACCAAATAAACTAGCTTCTTGCTATCTACATATATTGACCTGTAGATAATTTGATAGTTATAACTTGGGTTTATCTTAATTCCATCTCTACGCAAAATATTGTGTACTCAGTTTCAGTCAATATTTCTTATCTGTTAAATAGCACTATGATACAGATACTTGTATTGAATTAGATGGAGTGGGGTCTTAACCTGTGATTAGTTAGTTGAAAATTTTGACTGTCTTGTTTTATTACTCAATGTTTTATCTCAATTCCATGTGAAAAACTATAACCATCATTTTATAAATTTTAAGAACGAATATGTGAACTGTGTTAACTATTTTTTATTTTTACAATAAATAGATTCAAAACTATGTTCCATCTCATTACTATCATCTGGCAGAAATAGTGTTCCTAACTTTATTCATGGTAATGTTTTAAACCAAGAGAAAGGATATGGTTATTTAACTTTCAATGAAACATCATATCGTCATGCTAAAAGTTTGGGTAGTTTAGAAGCTAGAACAGGATTTTATCATTTGAAAATAATAGCTGAAGACTGTTCTCATCCAACAAAGTCGACAAAATCTTGGCCAATTACATTTGAAGTGAGCAGTTCTTTAAGTTTAATTTTATAAATGCGCATGAATGTATTTTCAAATTCAATGTTAGTAGATTTTTTTTACTGAGAAATAAGGTACATGACGACAAGTGATGTAACGTTGCATAGCTTTATGCATGGATAAAATTCATGAAAAGTTGCGTAAGCCAAATAGTTCTATTTCTAATCGAATCCTTTTCCAGGTTTACTTCCGTATATATTATAAGTGTGTATCTATGTCCATATATTCATCTAACGACGATGATTGATGAGTTAACGATAAGAGCTACTGAGTTCCTACAATTACTCAGTTGTAGCCGAATAGTAAATCGATGGAGGTAAAAACAGAATAATGTAAAGAGCATGTAAAAACAAAAATATTTCAATAAATGAAACTATTTTAACCTTGTCAAAAAACCAATTTAGTGTTACGTAATGGTAACATGTGAAGCATAAATACGAAAAGACTTTGTTCAAGTTTGACTGCATGATCTGAATCAAGCATTTATTATACGCAGCAATGAATAGTGACTAGCAGTGGAATCCAAAATGCACTTTCCGTCCTACTTGGGACTCGTTAGCTAGATGAACCTGCATCTTAGATTGAGCATTAACTCTGGGATGCAGGTACATCCAGATGACCAGTCTCAAATAGGAGTAAACGCATATCCTGGATTTCAATGCTATCCACCATCCATCTTTTCTTATAATGCTTTTAATTTAAGACAGTAATCGAGGCAACCCGTACAGGATGCCTATATATATGAATAACTTACTTACTTACGCCTGTTACTCCTCGTGAAGGAGCATAGGCCGCTCACCAGCATTCTCCATCCAACCCTGTCCTGGACAATCCTTTCCAGCTCCTTCCAGTTCCTATTGATCCTTTCAGTGCTTCAGCTGGTATATTGTCGGGTCCTGCTGCTTTCCCGCTCTTGATTTGTCTGATGGCCATTCTGATTTCTGTCGTTGGTGGATTGACATCTATAGGAAGATCTGTGTGCGCTGCTTCGATGTCCGGTGGATTCATTGGAGCCGCCCTATTCAGGAGTTCCTCGAAGTATTCTACCCATCTGTTCCGCTGTTGTTGAATTTCAGTGATTGCCCTGTGTTCTTTGTCTTTGACCGGTCTCTCTGGTTTACTATACTTCCCTGCTAGTTTCTTCGTTGTATCGTAAAGCTGTTTCTTATTTCCTTCCCTTGCAGCTTTTTCTGCCGTCGTTGCTAGTTCTTCCACGTATTTCTTCTTGTCGGCTCTAATGCTTTTCTTCACTTGCTTGTTGGCTTCTATGTATTCAGCCTATGCTTGAACTTTCTCTGCTTGTGTTCGACTGTTGTTAATTGCTGTCTTCTTGTTCTTCCTTTCTTTGATCTTGTTCAGTGTTTCTATAGAGATCCATTCCTTATGATGGTGCTTCTTTAGATCCAGAACCTCTTGACACGTTGAAATTAATGCTTCTTTGATACCTTTCCAGTTGTCCACCATAGTAGTTTCTTCTTCCTTCAGTAGATCCTGTAAGGCTTGAAACCTGTTGTTGAGTGCTATCTTGAATTCATTGAGTTTGTCAGTATCTCGAAGGAAGGCTGTATTGAACCTTTGTAATGCTGTTTGTCCAGTTGTCCAGTTCCTTTTTAGCTTTAGTTTTATATTGGCCACAACTAGGTGGTGCTCTTAAGCTATATCAGCTTCTCTCTTGTTTCTCACATCTTCCATTGTCCTTCGGAACTTTTTATTGATGGAGATATGATCTATCTGGATCTCTGTAGTGTGGTCCGGTGAGATCCATGTAGCCTTGTGTATACGCTTGTGTGGAAATATTATACCTCCTATGACCAATTTGTTGAATGCACATAGATTTGCAAATCTTTCCCCATTTTCGTTTCTCTCTCCCAGTCAATCCATGTCGTCCCATGATATCTTCACCTCCGGTGTTGTCTATTCCAACTTTGGCATTTAGATCTCGCATCAGAATGGTTAGGTCCTTTCTTGGGCCCTTCTCTACGACTGATTGCAGCTGCTCGTAGAATTGACCTTTGATGTCGTCGTTGCTATCATTGGTGGGTGCATAACATTGGATAATATTCATTGTGATGCCCTTCTTCTTTGTTTTGAATGATGCTTTGATGATTCTGGATCCGTGAGATTCCCATCATACAAGTTCATTTCGTGCTACTTTGGACAGCATTAGAGCAACTCCCTGAGTGTGTGGAGCATTTTCCTCTTCATGACCGGAGTACAGCAGCATCTCTCGTATTTAGCCTTTGTTATCCAGCTTGGGTCCAATGGGTTTCTCTGATTCTCAGTACTGCCAAGTTGTATCTCCTCACTTCCATTGCTATTTGACTGGTCTTCCCGGTCTCCCACATTGTTCGAACGTTCCATGTACCTATAAAAATTTTTGCTCTGGTTGTTAGAAGGGGCATCGGCCTCGTGGCTTCCGAAGGAACTCGGCTTTCACCATGAAGCGTCATAATTCTTCTAATTGAAGACCTTCTAACTCCCAGGGCAGAGTTAAAATGGTTTGAATTATTTTTTCTGGTCGCTAACCCCATGCCCAACCCTCCTCCTTTACCCGGGCTTGGGACCGGCAGTAACTCTGGAAGAGCTACAGGCGGAGTTATATGTAAATAAGAGATTGATCAATTTCAGTCCTAAACATCAATGCAATATTCATAAAACCAATACAAAAATGAATTTAACATTGTTTCGGTAAGTAGCATTAGAATCCTGTTCAACTTACAACTAGTTGGTAGTATGTTGTTTGATATGTGCTTTTTTCCTGGTAGCTTTATAAAGCGACATATACTCATATGGTATATGAGCTTGAATATAATAATCATTCATAATTATCCACTCTCTCTAAAGCTTCAGCTGTATGAAGACATACTTACATTATATCTGAGTTTTAGAGTTTTTACATGTTAAATGACCCACCTTAGATAACGCATAGAATGAAGATCTTTCTACACCAGAAAAAGACTTAGTTCGACTCTTGTGTGAACCACTAGGTTGTGACCATACAGATGGGAAAATTCTTATGTTTTGTATTTGATACCGTGTACAATCGTGCTAATACATTTCTTACGACGTTTAATTTTTTTTAAAAAGAAAAACAACTGTTTTGCTAAGTTTTCGGACTGACGGAATCTATTCAGTAGTATAGAGATATGTTCAGCAGCTAAATTTTACTTTCTAAACAATTTATTCACATATCTTTGATCATCTCTTACACATTATCAATCATGTTTGATTCGATAATCTTATATAAATTGGGCATTGAGTCGATTGTTTATAATACGAAAACTATATATTTGTAATATTTTCATGAATGAAAATTGAATTTCAAACTCTTTGAGACTTAGGGTAACTCACTTTTACGAAGAATAAGTAACCTATCTAAATTAACAGAATTTTAGACAATGCAGAGGGGCAAATCAAAATGCTTAATACAGTCGTGTATATTGAACAATTTTTCCATCGTTACTGTGAACAACATCATTAGCACAAACTTTAGGTAAAAGTGAGCTATTCGAGCTACTCCACTTATGACTGATAGCTTGTATTGTCTACCTTGATTTTGATTGGTTATTGTCGATGTACCTGTTCTGGTGAACAGTGAAAGTTTTACAAATAAAATCTTCCGCTCAAAATCATCAAAGTAAGCCTCAAATTTTGTCCATTATCTAGAAAAATGGTGTATTTGCAATGTAAAAGAGTAGATCTAATTTGTGTGTTAATTGTGTGCGGTTTAAATAGGTTGAGTGTATTTACTTAGAAAACTGGTTTGAATTGGTTGGATAGTTAAACGTTCCTTTTTATTGACCACAATGGTGTTTAGCAACATATCTAGAGCTTCAGTCACTTGCTTTTATGTTTGGCTGGAACAACTTTTATGAATTGTTTTGATATTGTCAGTATCGATTTGATGGATCCTGGGAATACCATTTACTGCTTCTACTGATTTATAACTCATAGATTTTTAAGTTTCGTAGAATTGTTCGCAAGTTGTTTTTTTAATAAAGTTTAGATGTTTCTTAAGAGGATTTATGATTTCTTGAAAAAACTCCCCAACATCTATGACAGCACTATCGATACAGTTCAGTGCATGAATGAGGGTATCTTTTCCTTTATTCAAGCTAAAACATAAACACATATATTCCTTATAATATACTGTTTACATTTTAGCATATTCAATCTGATTTACCAATTTGGTCTAAAACAAAATATGCATTTGAAATAGGTTCATTACATAGACCAGGTCATGAAGTTGGTAAAGTGACAGCATACACATCAGCTATAAATATGACAGAAAATGATAATTTTTTATACGGTGATGATACAGGTATGTGCGCCTATACAATACAAGATCCAAGTTATTCATTCGCAATTGATGGGCACGGTAAGTGTACATTGAGTTATTTCAAAAGAAATGCTTTCTGTTTTGTTTAATAATTACTATCTCTATGACCTACTTCAATTAAGTTACTGAAACGAAGTTGATTTTATCCCACGAAACGTGGCAATTAATAACAGTTGGTAAATCTAATATAACCCTTGCCGGTTGAATCGATTATCATTTTTGTAGTATTTCATAAGATGATGTCTTCAGTTAAACTAAGCAGTGTAGACAAGTTCAGACTACTTGGTTTAGGTCCGTTTGATTATCATTATCAATGGATAGAGACTGTTGATGAAATAAGTTTGAACTAATAATGATTACCCAGGTGCATTCACTTTTCATTTCAAAATGCTCATACTTTTTTATTCCGCAAATCGGATCTTCCAGATTCATATTCTCTATGTTTAAGGTTTTGTTTTTTTTACCATCCCTGATATTAATGTTTCGGTATTCATGTTTATAATTCAATATCACTGTGCCCATAAGTTGTAACAGCTTGGATCGATGCACACATGTACACCATGTTCTTATTTGGATACGACTATAATTATCGTCAATCAATTCATTTCTGTAAAATATGATACATTTGTTTGAACAGTAATTTGTTTCTATGCTGCGTTCAATCGTTCCTTTCGTCTATTTTATGGAGAGACTATAATTTATGGACGAACCAATCAGGTGTAGAGTTTAGCGCGAAATTCATTTACCCATTTGTCTAAATAGAGTTTTGACATTATAGCTAATGTCAGTTCGTGAGGAAAACACTAAATTTAATTTTTAAACTTAATCATCAACCGTAAATCATAATTCTAATTCCTCACATAGGTTCATTATCCTCATTTGGTCATGATTATTAGGTGGACACTCTCAAGGTCAATCTAACGTCTAGAGAAAACCAGGCTGGTTTTCAACCTGGACGTGGTTTTACAGACCAGATATTCACACTAATTCAGGTCCTAGAATATAGACACGGATTCAAACACCCCACAATCATAGTATTTCTCGACCTTAAGGCGACAGTTCATTCTGATGGTCATAAGGTCCTATGGCAGTTCGTCACCGAAAGTAGTACCAAAGAAGTACATTAACCTTATGAAGGTTCTCCACTCGAATACAACTGGTCGACTGAGAGCTTATGGCGAACTGTCATCAGAATTGAATACCTCAGGCGGTGTTCGTCAGGGCTGTCCACTCTCTCCATTCTTGTTCAACTTTGTCGTTGACGTGCTTATAGAGATAAAAAAATTTCCTCATCTAAATTTCCAGGGGTTGAACTTCTACCAGGAGATTCACTTGTTGAATTATAATATGCCGATGACATAGTTCTATTTGGTGAAGACACTCACAAAATACAGAATCTTCTGACCATTCTAAGCAACAATGCAAGCATGCTCGGGATGCTATTCTCTAGCTCGAAATACAAAATATTGCTTCAGAATAGAGTTGCATCAAGACCCAAACCAATGGTATGGAGTGAAGTATTTGAGCGTGCTGACCGCTCCACTTATCTTAGGAGTCTCGCCAGCCCTTGTGGTCTGGTGTGTGACGAAATCTCAGCAGGAATACAGAAGGCTCGACTAGCTTTTGCCAACTTGCGTCATTTATGGCGTAGGCGAGATATCCGTCTACCAACCAAAGGATGGGTTTACTGCACAGCAGTTCGTTCGGTCCTATTTTATGTCTGTGAAACATGACCGGTAAGAGCAGAGGATATTCGTAGGTTGTTAGTATTCAACCATAGGTGTCTTCGAAAGATTGTTCGTATATCCTGAGACCATTGAGTAAGTAACGCAGTTGTTAGGAAGCGGGTACTAGGTAAGGATGGCAAATCGATTGATGAATTAGTGAAACTTCATCAGTTGAGATGGCTGGGACACGTGTTACGTATGCCCAACCGCCGACTGCCTCGATGTGCGATGTTCAATGGTATAGGAGTAGGTTGTAAGAAAGTTGAGGGGGGTGCCAGACCAAGACATGGCACAAGTCCATGGAGTCACTGACAAGTGGACTGAGTCATGTTGGTAGGTGTAGACTACCTGTTTGGGGACCGCGAGATGATAGCAACCGATGGTTAGAGACCCTGAGTGACATGGTGCAGGTGCATCCACCCCTTGTGTTCTCCCAAATTCTAATCTTCTGAATTCTTCATGTCCCTTTCTTTTTTTTCTCTCCAAATTTATTTCACTGGATTATACTCCTTGAATAACATCTTCAAACCCTAATCTGTCCGATTACTGCCTATATTTTTACTTGCTCTACCACTACGGGATTTGAATCGAAAACTGCATCTCTGTGCTAATGTGGTATGGCAACTCGAACTGATGTATGTACGTATGAAGTTCTACCTTGTTACTGACTGACTGACAATCTAACGTCGCTCAAACGTCGTCCATAAATTAATAGTCTTACCATTATTTTTTTCAAAATTAAGACATTGATTTGATTGTTATTATCATATTACTATAGTGTTTTTCATTTATTTATTTATTCTACTTGACATTTCGAATATGTATATATTCAATACAAAGTTTTTTTTATGGATAAGCTTTCATTGTAAAGAAGTGTATGTAGTTTAACCTTTGATTATTTAAATAAATGAATGAATGAAATATTTTACAATATAAATAGCAGCTTCAATCTATCAATGTACTTTCTATGAGTTGTTAAGTTATCATTCGATCTGAAGTATTATAAGGTTATTCATTGTTCTTTATATCTGAAGAAAGATCTTTTATTATTCAGATTTTATAAGATATTTCATGTATAGTAAGTTTAGGTGGTTGAAAAGAATATATAGATTATATATAATAATATAGAATTGACTCATGAATTCATTTGTTAAATTATTACTATCTCCACAAAACCCGTGTCTGATTATAGCCATCATATGATCACTAGTGACTGTCTCCAAGAATTATTTCCTGGAGTCCTAGTGAGAAGCAGTGACCAGTGGAGTTCAACTGTGTCTACTGTGAGATAGTAATTCACTGAAGACAATGTTGGATGTGTCGCTCAATTTCGTAGATTGGTTGAAGTTAAACATTAACACCGTTGGATGCCAGCTATCTCAGTGGTCTAGAGGTTAAGCGTTCGCTCGCGAGACTGATAGATCCTGGGTTGGAATCTTGCGAGTCAGGATCATGTATGCGCACTGCTGAGGTGTCCCACAATAGGATGAAACAGTCGTTCAATGCGTCCAGGTTTTTCATGGTTATCTAGCTTCAATTAATTCATGATCTCAACGATTAAAATTACTATAATATCCACACACAATCCCTTTTGATACTAAGGTTTCTTTATTAATTCTACTTTAATTTTATGAATAATCGACTCCGTATAACTTTATTCCATATTCAATTTTTCACATTTCTAAATTTAATAACGTTGCTAAGGTGTGACAATTTCTACGTACATTTATACATATATCCAATGTAAAATTAAACAAGTATGAATTAAGAAAAGGAAAAACAAAAATCAAATTCACTTATCACTCATATTTCTCATCTTAGATATAAATCATAAAATCATTGTAGTATAATAAATATGTCAGTTTACATTTGATTGATATATGGATAAAGTAAACTTAATCATTATTAACAGGCTTTAATTTAAGGTGGTATATGGAATAATATTGAATTTCTTCTCAAGGGTAAACAATGTTTTTTTTAAAGCAAAGATGGCTAGTGGCTAGCAGTGGAATCCAATTTGACGCACGTTTCGTCCTGTTTGGGACTCATCATCTGGATGTCCTAGCATCTCCGAGTTGATGTTCATTCTGGGACTTGAACTCAGTACTGTCCGCTTCAAACGCCATCGCGTTATCCACTTAGCTACTGAGTCCTGATGGCCACTTGGTTGTGCAATGGGGTGAAGTTTAATTCACTTGGTATTGTTTGGCTTGTATCTTCGCATCAATTTCAGTCCTAAAAACATTAATAGGAAGATTCACGTAAAACAATACCAAGTGAATTAATGTCTTTTTTTGTTAAAAGTAATCTTTAAGGACTAAAATGATTTCATATATATATATATATATATATATATATATATATATATATATATATATATATATATATATATATATATGGGATAATTTGACACACACATACACAAATACATAACCACAAATGTATATCTATATACATGTAAAGGCGTTTACAAGTTTTAAATTATGCACATAGTGATAAAAAAGGGAGTTTAAAATTAAATAAGAAATTGTATGGAACATTTATTGATTAACTCCTACAGATAAACATGTTTTAACAAATTGCTTTATTGAAAGATTGTCAAAAATAAGTGATAACTAATAAAAAAAAATACTTCAATTATATTAACTACTTCTATTTTAGTAGCCCGGGGATCTGACTCCAATTAGGATCGTAATGAATGTTTGTTATCGCCTATCCTTGTTGTATATATAATCATCGAGTTAAATCGCGTTAGTCAATAACGGATTTAGATAAGTCATATAACGAGAATATGGACTTTTGAATACATATATATTTTGTATATAAAGTGAATGTAATAGAACAAAGCAAAATGACGCGCAGTGGAGATGGCGGGTAAGCCAACTCCCATTTAACCATACCTTAATTAATAATTATAGTTACACAAAAGTAAGTTACAGACATGTGATGAGTAATGGGATAAGAAATGTATACACACCTACGTGCTCATATAAAAACAGTCAAGATTGATAGAATAGAATGGGCTGTCCGAAAGCTAGAATAAAGTATATGGGCTTGACATAACTGGCATTACACTATTTTCTTCTTCTTATATGGTTCAAAACTGGATTGAAGTAGTGCATATTTTAAGCTTCAATGTTATTCTATAATATATATGGGATGCGCGTTTCTTCGTATTTGGGACTCGTCAGCTTGATGCTGACTCCGGGACTCGAACCTGGTGCCGTTCTCTCCGAACGCCATCGCGTTATCTACTTAGCTACTGAGAACTAATAACCACCTTCTTGTGCAGTGAGGTGTTGTTATATTCAC